TGAAATGTTACGATAAACGATAACGGAAAATAAATTTCAATTTATGTAAGCTATGAGATTTTATTCCGAAAATAGGTAAATAACTATTAAGAAAACTAAAATGCTTTAAATCTACACTAATATAAAGAGGATAGATTAGTATTTTTGTATGTATTGAAATAAGTCAAAAACTACTGGGCAGGCAAATTGTTTCACCATTAAAAAGCTACCTTATCGGTAAGTGACATAGGTTACATTTTTTATTATTTTTTTAATTCAACGCAGGCAAAGCCGCGAGCAACACCAAGTATTATAAAGTAGGTTATATTAAACCAAAACAGGTTAGTTAACCAAAGTAGTTTATATTAAAAAACCCTTTTTTACTCTAACTTGAGTTGTTCTAATTTTGGAGTTCTTTGCAAGCTATAATAAAAATAAATTCTATTTATTTCTAAACCCATTCGTAGTGAATTTCTTGTATTGCTTTCTATTGCAATTATACGATTGAACACTAAAGGTAACTCCGCGAAAGTTCAATAGTTCGAGGTTAAACGCCGCGATTTACATAATTGAGTTATCTTAGATAAACGAAGTGTCCATTGAGGTAAATAGCCTCCTTTCTACCCTTTAACCTTATTAGAACTCGTTGGATAGAATTTTATCTTATTACGTTCCTAATATCTCCATATTTATTGAAATCTATATAATGACAACTTGTTTATCATATTTATAACTACACTAATATTATAGAGAGGAAAGATTTGTATTTTTGTATGTATTGAAATAACTCAAAAACTACTGTGGCGATTACAAAAATTGCACCATTAAAAAGCTATGTCATCACTGAATAACATTGGCTAAGTTTCAATGTGTTTTTTTTATTTCCACGTGGACAAAGTCGCGAGCAACAACCTACTCTTAGATATCTTACCTTCGATTTCGGTTGTACAGTTAAAAAATCTGTCGCTGTGTCTTTTGTATACGAAAAGAAAATCTCATGTCCACATTCCATGACGGGGAGCATGAGAAGCATCCCGTGACGTCACGGTTAGTAAGTTACGATAAATTGGAACTGGACACTAGGAAGCTTTCAACTGGTATCGGTTACTGAACCCTTTCTCTGCCCACACTCCGCAGAGCTAGTATTATGTTACAAGAGACTGAATACCCCGGATATATCTACTAGGTCTAAACGAAGTAACAGCAGGAGCAGAGGCTCCTGGGGATCCCTCGAGCTTAGTTACTCATAAACCAGGTTTAGGTTAAGCGCCATCTGCGTTCAGTCACCTCAAGTCAGGTGAATCTATAAATGCCTTTTCAAGGCACACAATGGCAATTGAGTCGCAAAAAAATACTAAGTATATGCAGTATGATTTGCTTTTTAATGTTAATCAGAAGATTCGCAAATATTTGACACAAGGTATATAGATACTTGAATGTATGGAAGTGTCTACGATCTCGCAATGGGGACAGATTTATGTCAGCATTAATTACGGAGCTTGTCATCGAGAGGATCAATGTATAGGTTAATGGGGATTTAATATTAGCCTGATTATATCTGTCCACACCGGACTGAATTTATTAGTCATGTTAGAGTAAACTTGGATTACTAGGTTAAAAGACAATTGAAGTTATTGGTTTATATTTAATTCTATGTTTTATAGGTTAATACATTACGTTGTTTATACTAATAATATAAAGAGGATAGATTTGTATTTTTGCATGTATTTGATTCACGTAAAATCTACTGGGATGGTTTCAAAATTACTAGTAAAAAGCTACGTTATCAGTGACTAACATAGGCTACATTTTTCACTCGGGCGAAGTCGCGCGCAACAGCTAGTATACTTATATTATAAATGCGAAAGTTTAGATGGACGTTTGTTAGAGTTTGTAGCCTAAACGACTGAAGGGATTTGAATGAAATTTAGTACAGCTGTAGAGGATAGTCTGGAAGAAAACATAGACTACTTCTCTTTTGTTTTTTTGTAATGTCACGCGGACGGAGTCGCGGGCGAAAGCTACTTTCTTAATAAAATTTTAATAAAAAATAGAGCAACGAATCGTCTTAAAGTCGCAACACAAGAGGGAGCATAGATGTGTTGCCTTTTAGATGGTATTTTGGAGGTCCCAATATAGCACAGCCTTCTTACAAAATGGCATATATCGTACTGAATTAAAATCGTCTATGTTTAGTTCTACGTTAATGGTTTGTTAGTAATCACGGATGTTTAGACGAGAGTTCGTCGAATGTTTGAACGTTTTGCGTAAAGGAAGTTGCGCTGTGGCGAGACTGAAATTACGCTCGTTTGAGACGCATTACGTTAGCCGTCTAACATCCGTTTGTTTATAAAATATCAGTTCATACCTCGCCAGTCAATAATGTTGAATATAAATGACGCAATAAACCTTGACTTTGGCGCAATTTGTTTGTTCAACAGCTGCAAGTAAAATTATTGCAGTTCAATTTCAAAAAGCAATCAATTATGGCTGTAAATTTTATTATAATTAGATTAGCTGTTGTCTGCATGTTTGATGGCGTGGAATTATAAAACGTAGTATGACTTATATCTTAGTTCAGACTGTGTTCTATATTTGTACAAAATTTCAGCCTGATCCGTTCGTTTTGTGTATACTTAGTGACAAATGTCCATAATTCTATTTTATTACATTAGTAATGTAATTAATAAAATAAATAGTGAATACAATATGTGGAATCACTAGTGGTTACTCTACAAGGTCTATTCCGTAATAAATCTCAATTGACACAATTACAGCATTAGTTCTGATTACCCGTTTTCAACAGAACGCCGCAATGCTGGCATTAGAGGCGAGTTAACTTGCGACATATAATGTTATGTCATTAAATGTCACTTGTAACATTTCCTATTATTGTAGAATTTATTTAATAAGCAATTTATATAATTTAATCATTTGAACTTCAAGTTAATATTAACTTGTATGTCAACAACATTCCGTGCATTACTTTTATCAAGTTTACTAAATGGAATAGAATCTCATTTGGTAAAAAATATCTAAAAAGTAGCTGTTACTTGAGAGTACGTTCTTGTGGCATTAAAAAGTGTAGGCCACAAACTCTAACAAGCATGTAAACTTTCGCATTTATAATATTATAATAGTAACTAGCTTTTGCCCGTGACTCCGTCCGCGTGGAATTAAATAAAAACAAAACAGTAGCCTATATGTTCTTCCAGACTATCCTCTAAGTCTATGCCAAATTTTATGGAAATCCGTTCAGCTGTTTAGGCTACAAACTCTAACAAACATCCATCCATCTAAACTTTCGCATTTATAATATTGGTATTAGTATACCATATACTTTCGTTAAATTTCTTATTTGATTTGTAAAAATAACAATGCAATCTTTTGTTTTAAATTTTAATAATTAAATTGATCTATGTATATATTGTCTGAAGTGTCATTAACCTAAGAAACCTGAGACTGCTCACATCCTCTAACAAATTTGTCGCAGCGTGTCGTGTCGTGTCCGCTCCGTGCGCGTCTCGTCTCGTCTGACAACCGCAACGGGGATATGATATCGTTTACCTGTGTAATACGCCCCCTGTGCTAGGGTTGCCAAATATCGTATAAACATTAACAAAAATCGGTATTTATTGATTTTTATATGACGCGATTGTAGCAAGAATTTCGATTATTATACGTATAATGATTAATGTTTTTATGACAGATAACAAGCAATTATTGGGTCATATTATCGTAAATAAAAACTTAGTAATAAACAGCAACGATATAGTGAATTAGCTTTTGCTCGCGCAATATAAAAATATAGCCTATGTTACTCACTGATAACATAGCTTTTTAATGGTGAAAGAATTTTTGAAATCGACCTTTCTAGTAATTTAATACATATAAATATACAAATCTTTCCTCTTTATAATATAAGTATAGACGATATATAATCTTCATGCAAAAATATTATAAATTCATTTCCAAAGAAAAAAAAATTATATTACTCGACTGTCTTTTGACAACCTTAATTCGACAGTTCACTATACCTGTGTTAGACAAGGAATAACGTTACACTTTGCGAAGTAACATGAATGACTAAAGTTTAAGTAATTTCCACGCGGACACGCGAGAAGTCACGGGCAAAAGCTAGTCTTTAACAAATCAATATAAAATCAACACAAATATACAAAGAAGACTAAGGTCCTGTCTAATAAGAATCCAACGTGTAAAATAAGTGATCAAATTTTGTTACCTTCCCTGACAGTGACGTCATTTTTAAGCTATCTGAGCCTCTATCAGCCAGTGGTGGGACAGGCCCTACATATTTATTCACATGTATTACACGCGATTTGTTAGTACAAATTAACTGTAAAAATAATTCACTTCTCGTGGATATAGCAAAAAATTTACACTAACGTTTTTGAGCAATGAACACTAAATAATTTCCGCTCTGTTAATTCATTACGTCTATTTAATCTGTAACAATTACATTGCTGCTCTAACTCTTCTCATCTCGGATAATGAATTGCAAACACGATGACGTAACGCAATGTAATCGGATATTTTATAACAATCGTTGTTGAGAAGTTTTTAATTACAACATTCACTTTGTTTTGTTTATAAGGCTGTTGCCACCGACTTGTTCAATAACTAATCCGGATGCTGGTAATATTTTAATCTTAGATTTTTTTTGTTCGTTAAATTGTGTTACTGAATTTATAAAATGTCTAATATAACTGACTCTGAAGAAGAAGTAGTTAGTTAAATAGTAAGTTAGAGCATAAAGGCTCAAGGGTATTATCACTTGATTTGTAATCTATAGGTCTTAGATTCGAATCCTTTCATGTACCGTTTTTATAATTTCATATATACATAATTTATCAGACGTACTTACGATGCCTGCACATATTGGCAAAGAAATTCAAAGATACGTAACCAACCCGCACTGGGCTAGCTGGACTCTGGTCTTGACACCTCTAACAGAATACAAGACCCTCAGTCGTAAGCGTAAGTATTAAAATCGTACTGACCGTTCTTCGAGCATTTCGTTGAATGTCTTGCTCTTGGCGCGCGGCTGACTGGGTTCACACTCCATGCGACGTACTTCCACGCACCGCTCGATGATGTGCTCTACCCGCTTCCGCCGCGATGACTTCCAGTTGTCCAGGTTCTGAAACAACAGGATATAATGTAAATAAGTACCAATACCTCAATGGTTAAATGTAGGGACATCTCAAAACTTGAATTGTTCGAATATTGTTAAACAGTTGAGGAGCATATCAACAAAAAACTTATTGGATCTTTCAAAATTGGAATGTTCCTATTAATATAACAAACTAGCTTTCGCCCGCGACTCCGCCCGCGTGGTATTATAAAAAACAAAAGTAAGTAGCCTATGTGTTCTACCAAACTATGCTCTACATCTGTGCCAAATTTCATCCAGATCCGTTTAGCTGTTTAGACTACAAACTCAAACAAACATCCATCCATCTAAACTTTCGCATTTATAATATTAGTGTGAAATATGATTAAAGTTATTGTTAATATAATAATGCACTGATGCGGAAGTGACAAAATAATTTTAGTAAATTTAAAAAACAATTTTGTAACAACGCAGGCAATTTACTGCTATATCATGGTAAAATTCACATTCTATTGTAAAATTTGTAAACGGGAGCACATAGCTTTAATTGTTGAGTTTAATTTTACGTCTGTTTATTAAATAACTAAGGAAAAGGAGTATTTAAATCATGATCTATTTATTGAGGAAACAGCCAATTTAATAAAACCTGTCACAATGGTAAAGGATGAAATTACCTAGTTATAAAATCAATTTAGTTTTAAATGAATGTATAAAATTGTACATGTCCCACGCCATACAGGAAGCGCAATGTAAACCTCGCGTATCGGATTAGAGCCAGCGATGAGTGTACGATAAACATCGTACATTGCGCGCCGGATATTGAAATAGTTGCCAGCGAATTGGCCAACTATTGCGAAACTCCCACTTGCCACGCGATGGATTGCTTGCTATTAGTTAAGATCTGAATCTTGTTTTAAGGAATTTAATAACGAAATTCTACATAAAAGATACACAATTATTTATCTTCTTATTAGTTAAGTATAAAAGGAATTGCACTTAGGAACTCTATACTAATATAATAAACCGAAAACACATACTTCTTTATGATGTCAGCAATCACAACATATTTTTAGATAAGTTGCTTTTATATAAAGTTCTACGCTTTTATATAAAGTAAGTGAATATATTGTAAAAAATTGTCATGTGGGAAAGGAAGATAAACTACAAGCGTATAGTAGCAAAGGAGCAAGAATAACACGGTAACGGTAATTGGTAGCCAATGGTAAAGACCATCGTTGTATTTTGTGCATTTGCATTTTGACATTTGCAAACGTAAGTTTTTACAAATGTAAGTAATAAAATAACGTTTTTATAATTTCGGGAACGGCTAGTTTAGAACTAAAAATCGATCGTGTCACGTTGATGATATTTCTAATAATTAGGTAAAAGCCGACACGTTTTATGTCGTCAAGTAGACATGACAAATCGCGTGCATTCAATTTAAAAAGACATTTTTTGTCACTGTTTCGTTTAAATCAAATTCTTCCGTAATTCAACAAAAAACCGTTCTGTTTATTTGTTTGTTGTATGCAATTGTTACGTTCTAACATTTTACTTTTTAAAACTTTCAATATTATTATGTAATTTATTATTATTAAACTGATCTTTATAAAAAGAACGGAGATTATAGTTTTAATAAGCTTATGTTTTTTAATTATATACAGATGAAGTCGCGTGTAACAGCTAGTATATAACGTATCTAGAACAATACATTTGTCAATCGTGGGCAGTCGGCAGTTAAAGTGTTATGTGCAACCGTTTTTCTCCTAATTTCCCTCGCAGACTAATGTTGCGTTTTTGTCATGTTTGGTCCAAAAAGAAATATTAAGCGATAATACAACAAAAGATTAAAAAGACGTGTTACATTAAAAAATTGGACGGTGTTTCCTTAACACGTGTTTAGTTTAAAGTGTGACTAATACTTGATTATATGTTTCACCATAAATATACTCCGTCCGCGCGCAATAAAAAAAAACAAAAGTCATAACTAGCTTATGTGTTCTTCTAGACTGTTCTCTACAGTTGTTTTTTAATCGTGATCCGTTTAGCAGTTTACGCTACAAACTCTAACATGCATCTAGCCATCCAAACCTTCGTATTTATAATATTAGTAAGACTGGACAAAATTACCATTTCAAACTGTACGCATAATGTTTCAATAGCTATGTTTTGGCTCGAGTTGATAAGAATTGACGTAAAATTACACAAAAAATTTATAGTAAAGCTATATTCGTTTATTTCTATATACTTGGACCACAGTAATAATACTTAGAACGGTACAATACGCCGTCTCGAATGGACTTGGATATTTTTATAGCGAACTGTCTTGCACAAGCATTGCCACACCATCCGGCGCTTTTATAACGATTCTTAGAATGTTGTAACGCGAAAAAATTACCACCATTGCTGTGCCGTTTGCTTAAGAACCTATAGAGAAGATAGCTAAGACTTGAATGTAGCAAAACCATAGACTTAAAAATCACAGACGAAAAATAGATCAATAATAAAAGAATTAATTATTGAATTGTCGGACCTGTCTAATCTTATCTTACTAATATTCTAAATGCGTTTTGGATGGATGTTTGTTAGAGTTTGTAGTCTAAACTACTGAACGGATCTTGATGTAATTTGGCAAAGATGTAGAGGATAGTCTGGAAGAACATATAGGCTACTTGCTTTAGTTTTTTTTTTAATTTCACGTGGACGGAGTCGATAGCAACAGCTATCACTAAATAAAATTTCTATAGATGATTCTTTTTAATTTCATAATGTAAACGACAAAAGTGTAATAACCATTTTGTCTTGCAATATCTCCTAACAACTACAATTATTTTATATAATTATTAATAGAAAAGTAATACAAAAGCTACGTAAATTTAATGTTTCCCATAAACATTTAAATGCATACAATGCTCTGAGGTGTTTAACAATTCAAATGCACAACAAATGCATACAATAAGGGTAGTACACACTAGTGATAAATAAAATTTAATTATTACGAGGGAAATGTATACACACGTACATTGTATATTTTGAAAATTAGAGGAAGTTTGAAAGTAGCGCCAGTGGTGAAGAAATTGAGAAGCAAAAAGTGGGCATGTTATGCTACGAAATGATGGGGACATAAACCAGAAAGTGTTAAGATAGAATGTGGATAGCTACAAAGGAAGAGGAAGACCGAAGAAAGTATGGATGGATTGTGGGAAAGAGGCTATACTTAAGAAAGGAGTGGATTCAGATATGACGGCTGATAGAGATGTATGGAGCACATACTGTACCAACCCTCTATAAGGGATAATGGCAAGTTGACGATGAGGGAAAAGTGTACGTATGTTTCACATAAAAGTAACGTCTATTTTACTGTCCCTAGTAATGTAGCAAACAAGGGTATAAAATCCGAGAATAGACTATATCAATCTATACTAATATTATAAAAAGGAAAGAATTGTATTATTGGATTATTGGATGTTTTCAATTTACGTAAAAACTATTGGGCGTAAAAGCTATAAAGGTAATTTAGTTGCGAATAACATTGACTATGTTTTGTTTTATTTTTTCACTAGATTTCGCTCGCGACTCCGAACTAAAAAAACAAATGCAAGTAGCCTATGTTACGTCTTCCAGACTATCCTCTACATCTATGGCAAGCTTTATCAAAATCTGTTTAGCAGTTTAGGCTACAAACATCCATCCATCCATCTAAACATCTAAGGTGGATGAAGTCGTTATTGATGAGTCATTTTTTCCTTTTGTACTCAACGAGGATTATTTTATTCTAGTGTTAACACACCTTTATGCGGCCAATTTACACGGTCGCCTGCTAACTAGACGCCTCTTGTGCTTACAAAGTCCTCATTATCATCCCAAATGCAACTACAAGAAGATTTATGACACATAAATTTATACCCACTGCATAAATATCACACAGACATTGTAAATCTAGACATGGACATTACCTGTTACTGCCGTGTCTATTAATTTAATAATCTATAGATATACAAGCTTTTAGTTGTATAAAATGAAATACTATTACATTTTTGAAGACAAAACATAGACTCAACAGTATAAAGAGATTTTGCTTAATAAATGTTAAAGTTATGTCATACTAGCTTTTGCCCGAGACACCGTTCGCGTTGTAAAAAAGTAGCCTATGCATTCCAGACTATCCTCTACATGTATGACAAATTAAATCGAGATCTATTCAGCCGTTTATGCGGTAAACTCTAACAAACATCCATCCATCCCAATTTTCGCATTAACAATATTAGAGATAGAAATGGTGGTCTAGACTGATGACTTACTGTGGGATAAAAAAGAATTTGTTTTTAAATAAATTATAACCAAAAAATCAATATTTATACCAAGATGTAAGCAACCTATCTTACTAATATTATAAATGCGAAAATTTAGATGGATGGATGTTTGTTTGAGTTTGTAGCCTAAACTGCTGTACGGATCGCAATGAAATTTGGCACAGGTTTAGAGCATAGTCTGGAAGAACACATAGGCTACTTTTTATCCCGGGATAAGTTACGGTTCCCGTGGGATTCATTAATTTAGTTTTTTAATGTTTACGATCATTCTGCAACGCTTCAACATATCTTTTTGAAATTTGGCACAGATGTAAAACAAAGTCTGCAGTATACATGGGATAAGCTTCATCTATGAGTGTCCGGTTCCCAAAGGGATACGTAGCTTTTTGTTATTTATACAGTTCGTATGTTTTCTAATACCACGCGGACGAAGTCGCGGGCAACAGCTCGTAAGTTATAAGAGAGATAAATTTATTAGTGAGCTGTAAATGGAATGCCTTGAAGCAAGCTTATACAAACTAAATACAATTCCTATCGGATAAATCATATTGATCTATTACCTTGTTATTCTCTGTATTGCTATGTAATAAATAATAAAATATGCAAATAAAGACTTATTAAAAACATAGACAGAACAATCCATATTATTTGAAACAACATTGAATGTTAATTGGACGCGAATTATCTTAAACTAGCTCTCGCCCGCGACTCCGTCCGCGTGTAATTAAAAAAGTGAGTAGCTTATGTGTTCTTCCAGATTATCCTCTACGACTTTGCCAAATTTTATCGAGATCTGTTCAGCCGTTAAGGTTACAAACATCCATCCATCCATTCATCTAAACCTTTCGCATTTATAATATTAGTAAGATTAAAACTTATATGTTATATTTAAGTAAATATATAATTTTAAAATGGAGAACAGTAGCCCTAGTAAAATAAAAAAAATAACCAATTACTAAACTAAATTTTAATACATTTAAAGCTATCGATATGAGTTCAAATTGACAGTGGCACGGAATGTTAACTTCGTCTAAAAGTACTAATGAGTTAAAAATGCACTAAAACAGGTAACATAGGTTTAAAAACTCGGAAGGCTAGTTAGGTCCAATTAGCCTCAATTCTAGGTCTCTGTGAAACTGTTAATTAAGGTCACATTAAGACTTAAGTAGAAATCGATGAGATCTAAGTGCTAACTTAATCATGTAAGTAATTATAACTTCCTATACACTTAATAACTTGGGTGCTTCGTTTTATTTTAATTGGTATGCCTTACAGTGTATTTGATTTTTGTGTTTTTAAGAAATCAAAATCAGTTAATTTAAAAATTAAATGACTGTTCTACAAAGAAAATAAAAACATTTTTAATAGTAATTCCATAATATTTAATTCAGTGCTAAGTACGTCCCTAATTGTAGTTTAAAATTAAATTCGTAGTCCTAACAACTCAAGTATGTGTAAAAAAAAACAGCCCTATCATTTAACATACTAGAATTAAATCTAAAAATGGTGTTTACTGAGTTATAAAAATAAACAAAGTAAAGAAGGTATTCTCAACATTGTCTGTTTATCATTCCCTAAGGCTCGATCGGCGGAAACGAGGCACATTCGAGTTAAAAGAATGCGAGTAGCTTCCGGCGGCACGTCTCCCTTGTTAAAGACGACACGACAAAAAGCTAAAACGAGTCGTAATTGTGCAGTTAGATGTAGTGCAATGTCGGTGTCGTCTATTTATAAAGCATACTGGATTTATGTTGATGGCATCCATAGAGTGAAGGTTACTGGCAAAATTTATCGCTTACGGATACTGCAAGCTTTAAACAATCTGTAATGTGTATTTACCGAGTTCCAACATCTATTGTAATAAGGAGGAAACATTTGTGTTTTTGTATGTATTGAAATAGCTAAAAAACTACTAAACCGATTAGAAAATTTTTTCAACGTTAGAAATATAATTTATCTGCAAGTAACATAGGCTATATTTTTTAATTTTATGCGGACAAAGTCGCGAAGTTAGTGTTTCTATAAATGACAAAACTGACTAGTTGATTTGCAAATTTTCTTATTTCCCACTGTCAGTTATATAATTCTTAATTGTAATGACGTATTAAAAAATTAAAGACCTTACCACAAAAATGTAATGTCTCAAATACATTTTAGCTAAAACTTACGCCAACCCTTTACCGTGACTAACGCCTGTTGTGGATTTTCAACACATCATGGACATTGAAATATGCGTAAGCTTGCGAAATGTTAACATTAACCAAATACTTAGTACTTATAACAAAAGCTGTGAGGTGCTACATTTTTATGGTAATACATTGATGTCAACATGAATCGGCGGTTAGAGTCAGAACATGTGTTAATAGCACTAACTATAGTTTTTAGTGTAATAGTCTCTGTTTCTTTTTAAGTCATATATTATCTCCGAAACGACTAGACCGGTTTTGACCGGATTTCACTGAAGGGTAGCTGACATAGAAGGTCATATTATAGGCTACTTTTAAATTCCGCGCTGTCAAAATGGCTAACGGACCGCTATCGGGTGGACCGATTCGGACGAAACTTTGACTGGAAGATAGCTGGTAAGAGGTAGATGCGATAGATGACTTTTTTTTAAATCCACGCTAACGAAGTTTGCGAGCAACAGCTCGTATTCTATAAAACGTGAATGGCAAATTAATCGTTTTTAATTTCTTGTATTTGATATATGATAGATAACCGTAGGTGTTCATTGAAGCGGGCAGCACGCACTGCACGCACAACTCACGGTATCCGATAGATCACGCGAGGAATGTTCGAGAACAAATAGTACGTGATAATTGTCATTATAGTTTCACCGGAATTTACCATTGGTAATAC